CCCTCTGCCGGTCCCCAGACAGCCGCCTCCAGGAAACCGCACTTCCGCCTCCTAGCGGTCGCCCCGGAAGTGGTCGCCGTCAGCCCGGAAGAAGAAACCGCAGCGCGGCAACGCCTTCGGGCGCACCGGAGTGGGTTGGTTCCCGGGCAGGCGTGTCCTCCGTGAGAGGTAAGGCGAAGGTGAGGTGTTTTTTTTGTTTTGTTTGCGCCCAGGGTTCTGTCTTGGGTCGAGGGCATGGCTGCCTGTTTACGGAAAAATGGATGGAGCAGAGTCTTGGGTAGCAGGAAGCGCGAAGGCGCAAAGACGCCCTGCGGGGAAAGAAACTCGCGCGTGCGTTCAGTTGGAGATGGACCCGTCTTCATCTGCAGCCTCCCTTCCAGCATCTAAGGTGTTTTTGTTTTTGTTTTGTTTTTTTATTTATTTTTTATTCCAATTTGAGAGACATCAGGTGACCGTGGTTCAAACCAAACCGACAGACTTCGCCCTTTACGCCAACTCCTGTGGCTCCGAAGAAAGACGGCAGATCTGAAGGCGCTGCCGGGGAGGCGCTGTGTGCGCCCCAAGTGGAGCGGCCATGGCTTCCTCCCGAGGAGAGCCAACCCCTCGCCGTGGCGCCCAGGGCATCATCGCCTTCCCAGCTTTTAGGATTCCCTTGCTTTTGAGTTTTGTGGATCCTGGCACAGTTGGAATGGCTCGCCGCTTCTGGTATTTGGAGTTCAAGCCGATGGAACTGCAGCCGACTGGCTGGCCAAGCCCAAGAAGACCGGAAGCTACCGTTAGGTTGTCTGCTGTCAGCTGGTGGTGGTTGGCATCCGTTCAACTCTGATAGGACCCCCAATTTGGGGTATGCGGAAGGAGAATTTATTCAGAACAGCTCAACTGTGAGACAGCACAGGTGTGGGACAGCAGGGCCGTGAGGCAGGTCAGGTGTGAGGCAGCCCCGTGTTGCAGCTTGGCCCCTCTCTGGCAAGACAGCTGGACTCTGCTGGCCCACTCCGGCCTGGCCCAGCCAGACAGCTTACCTGGTACAGCTCCAGCAGGAAAACACAATCTTGGTAGATGAGGAAAGCCCATTCCCTGAGTCAGAGGGCATCTGATTTATAGGGAGGGAAGTCCCCCCCTCCCCCACCGCAAATGAGGACTCCAAGTCCACAGTTTGATTGGACAAAAAACAAACACTATTCTGCCCTAGCCTGTTTGGCTCAGTGGATAGAGCATCAGCCTGCGAACTGAAAGGTTCCAGGTTTGATTCCAGTCAAGGGCACGTGCCTGGGTTGTGGGCTCCATCCCCAGTGTGGGGCGTGCAGGAGGCAGCCAATCCATGATTCTCTCTCATCATGGATGTTTCTATCTCTCCCTCTTCCTTCCTCTCTGAAATCAATAAAAAATATATTAAAAAACAAAACAAAACAAAACATAGCAACACTGTCCTGATTTGTCCTAACGGAGGCACCTGATTGGTCACTGAAAATGCTGATGGGGCTATAGCTGTGCAGCTCTGAGTGCATGGACAGAGTCCCAGTCCTATTGGTTGAAATTGGATTCCAGGAATTCCTTTAGGAGGGTTGGCTCAGATGGCAGGCAGGCAGTTCAGTGCTCCCTGAAATGTAGCTTGTGTGAGAGGCCCGTTTAGCAAGGCTGCTAGGCCCTGCTTTTAAATTTGGCCCAATTGGCCACCTAGAGCCCTTTTCAGTATTTTCTTTCTTGGAGTCAATAGTCATCTGTCACAGATTAGGTTTAAAAACAGGACTTCTAATCCAACCTGTCGGAATGGGTCTTCACATTTAGGGGCGCAGTGTTGGAATTTGGACATGAGAAAGATCTGAGCACTGATCCTAGCTCAATCCCTCACTAGGTGTGAGACCTTGGACTGATTACCTAACCTTTCTCCAGTGTGTATCTCTTGTTTGTAAAATGACTAATAGTAAAGGCTTTCCTTGAAGACTTCACCATAAGAATTAAATGGACTTTGAATTGGACATCTAGTGCCCAGCACTTAATCATTATTCAACAAATTATTACTATCATTACTTGCTCTTGAAAGACATTTTCCGTGTATGCAAATATATGTGATACACTACTAGTATATTAAGGAAATGAAGGGTCAAAATCATGTGATCATCTGAGTAGGTGAGAAAAAGCACTCAACAAAATTCAGCATTCTTTCATGGTAAAAAAAACAACAAACTCAGTACAGAAGCGATATACCATGCCTTAATAAAGGCCACATGTGACAAGCCCACACTTCACATTTGAAAGGTTGAAAGCTTTTCCTCTAACATCAGGAGTCCTCCCCACAACAATCTGGCAAGAAAAAGAAATAAAAGGCATCCAAGCCATGAAGTAAAATTGTCTCTGCAGATAATAAGATCTTATATATAGAAAACCTTAAAGACTGCACCATAAACCCCTTAGAACTAATAAAGGAAGTCAGTAAAGTTGCAGGATACAATATCAGTATACAAAAGTCAGTTGTTGCTAACAAGGAACTATCAGAGAAAGTAAGAAAATCCTATTTACATTAGCATTAAAAAGAAAATACTGCCCTAGTCGGTTTTGCTCAGTGGTTAGAGCAGCCGTGGGCAAACTACGGCCCGCGGGCCGGATCCGGCCCGTTTGAAATGAATAAAACTAAAAAAAAAAGACCGTACCCTTTTATGTAATGATGTTTACTTTGAATTTATATTAGTTCACACAAACACTCCATCCATGCTTTTGTTCCGGAGCCCTCCAGTCCAGTTTAAGAACCCATTGTGGCCCTCGAGTCAAAAAGTTTGCCCACTCCTGGGTTAGAGTGTCAGCCCACTGATGAAGGGTCTCGGGTTCAATTCTGATCAAGGGCACATACCTCAGCTGCTGTCTTGATCCCGGGCCCAGTTGGAGTGAGGGTGGGAGCAACCAATTGATGTGTCTCTCTCACATCCATGCTTCTCTCTCTGTCTCTCCCCCGTCCATCCTCTCTAAATATCAATGGAAAAAATATCCTTGGGTGAGGATTAACAACAACAAAAGAAGATAAAGTTCTTAGTAATAAATTTAACCAGGGAGGTAAAAAATTTATGCACTGAAAATTATAAAACACTGATGAAAGAAATTGGAGAAGGCACAAATAAATGGAAAGATGTTCTGTGTTCATGGATTGGAAGAATTAATACTGTTAAAATATCCATTCTACCTCAAGTGATCTACAGATTCAGTGCAATTCTTATCAAAATTCCAATGGTAATTTTTATGGACACAAAAACCAATCCTAAAATTCACATGGAGCCACAAAAGACCTTGAAGAGCCAAAGCAATCTTGAGAATGGAGCAAAACTGGAGTCATCACACTCCCTAATTTCAAACTACATTGCAAAGCTTCAGTAATCCAAACAGTATGGTATTGGCATAAAAACAGACACAAGGTCATTGGAACAGAATAGAGAGCTCAGAAATAAACCCATGCACACGTAGTCAATTAGTTTATGACAAAGGAGCCAATAATTACATTGGGAAGAGGATAGACTCTTCAATAAATGGTGTTGGGAAAACTGGATAGCCACATGCAAAAAAAAAAAAATGAAACTGGACTTCTATTTTGCACCGTACATAAAAATTCAAAATGGATTGAAGATTTGAACATAAAAGGTGAAACCATAAAACTAGAAGAAAACCGGTAAGCTCCTTGACATTGGTTATGGCAAAGGTTTTTTGGAGCTGACACAAAAAGTGCATGCAACAGAATAAAAAACTACAAAGCTGCACAGCAAAGGCAACCATCAACAAAATGAAAAGTCATCCTATGGAATAGAAAATATCTGCAAGCCACATATCCAGTAAGGGGTTAATATCCAAAATATCAAGAATTCATACAAACCATAGAAAATACTTTCAAATAACCCAATTTAAAAATGAGCAAAAGGATCTGAGTAGACATTCTTCCAAATAAGATATACAAATAGCCAACATGTACGTGGTACATGAGAAGATATCCTTTCAACATCACAGATCATTTAGGGAAAGGCAAATAAAAATGATGAGATACCACTTCACTCCTGTTAGGTCTATTTTCAAAAGGACGAGATAACAAATGCTGGCTAGGATGTGCAGAAAAGGGAAGTCCAATCCACCGTTGGTGGGAATGTAAAGTGGTGTAGCCACTATGGGAAACAGTTTGGAGGTTCCTCAGAAAATTAAAAACAGAACTACCTTATGACTCAGCAATCCCACTTCCGGTTATAGATCCAAAGAAAAGAAAATGGTTATCCAGAAGAGGTATCTGTACTCCCATGCACATTGTAGCATTATTCACAATTCCCAAGGCATGGAAACAATCTAAGTGTCCATTGACAGATGAATGAATGAATAAAATGTGCTGCCTGTGCGTACGGTAGGGTATTATTCAGCCAGGAGAAAGAAGGGCATTCTGCTGTTTGTGGCAACATGGATGAGCCTGGAGGGCATTATGCTTAGTGAAACAAGCCAAACGAAGAAAGACAAATATTTTATGGTATCACTTATATGTGGAATCTTAAAAAAAAAGTCAGACTTGGAAACAGTAAAATAGTGGTTGCCAGGGGCTGGAGGGTATGGGGGAAAGGGAGAGGCTAGTAACAGGGTACACACTTTCAGTTACAAGATGAATAAAATCTGAGGATCTAAAGTACAACATGGTGACCATAGCTGATAATGCTGTGTTGTAGTATTGAAATTTTCTAAGAATAGAATTGTGTTTTTAAGCCCCCTCTCCCCCCAAAAGGTAAATATGTGAAAATCCTTTCGTAGAGCATACATACCTAAAATCATCATGTTATACATGTTAATAAAATTACAATTTTACATGTCAGTTATACCTCAATAAAGCTGGAAAAAGAATTTGTGAACTCAAAATTCCAAGAGAATGAGATGTAGGACGGCACGTTTTTGTGGTAGAAGGGAGTATGATTTCAGGTAGAAAGTTGCCGTTCCAGGGTGGGAGGTTTTGGATAGTCTCAGCCGTTGCTGTGGTCCCATTGTCTAGCACAGTGCCTGCCTTCAAGGACATAAAAGCTAAAACCTTAAAACTGTATGTGTGTGTGGAATGGATGAGTTACGGGAGTTGGGAACAGGGAGGGTGGAGAAACGGATTTAGAGATCCACTCTCCTCCTTCAGAGGTCACAGGCTGATCTGACATTCCAGTGACTTCTCTCCTCCCTCTACTCAGCTCAGCACTGAGCTCCGAGGGGAAGCCACTGGGTAGAGGTTTGGGCATAATCTACACCTCTAAGGCCTTTTGTACAAAGGACCGCTTCATCTCACCCTGTTGGCGGAAATAACAGACCCGAGAGTCAAGTAGCCAATCTTTTCTCTGCTGATTCAGAGCTGAGACTGTCATTCAGAGGTGGTCATCATCCCATGGGTACATCTCTCCCCTGCAGTGAAAATGTCCTCAATCTCCATCTCCTCCTGTGACCGCCTGAAAGGATCTACAAAATGTGTGATTCTTTTTATTAAAAAATGCAAAATCTGAAGGAAACTCTCTAAGTCAGTGTTCAATCAGAGAACAAGAACTACTAGACAAAAATATAGGGTGTCCCCCCAAAATGTATACACACACTTTGAATAATTATAAAGACTGTTTATTAAAATACATTTCATTTTCAAAATTGAGCTATCAGCTATTAAAATGTGTATACATTTTGTGGGACACCCTGTATATTCATATATATGTATTCTATATATAGAGTGATTTTTAGATGTTTATTACGTGTATTAAGCTATTATGTAGCCATGGAATATATTGTCATTTACAGGGGTGGGCAAAGTAGGTTAAATCACCAGCTGTCATTACCCAAAAGATAAATCATAGGTAAGGATATGAAATAATAATATAATAAAAAGACATATTATACAAGTAAATCTATAAATATAAAAGGCCAAGTGTCTGTCCTCCTCTCTGTCTGGTAGCTATGATGTGCACTGACCACCAGGGGGCACCACGGACCTGGTGCTGACAAACCAACACTTGGCTTTCCCCAAGTGGGACACAGGCCCCACCACCACCCTGGAGTGACGCCCCACCAAATTGCAGCCAACGCTGCCAAGACCCCATGGCGCAAAATGTGGTCCACAGCCCAGCCCCATCCAGGAAACGGTGGCTGTGGGCGCCAGGTAATGACATAGCAAAACCCAGGTTCCTCTCCCTA